AATACTGCTACTTTATCTCTCTTGACCAATGTACTTACACTCAGCAAGTTCTTTGATAGGTCAGGCACATATATAGCAGTTCTTACAGAAACTTCCTTCCTATCCTTATCGACTACATGTCTAAAGGTTTCCAAGCTTGTTCTGCTGTTTTAGCATTTCTCCTGCTATTTTAGTTTTAACCTTGCAGGAATTGATAATCACAAGGCATATTTTGGATCAAGTCTATTGATATCTCTGGACTGCGTCGGTCGTAGCTGGTTTAGATGTTATGTAGCTAAATAGATTGTCGTGGATTAGGACATATTCGATGTCAAACCTCCATGTGGAATAGTTGGAGGAACCTTCAAGTTTCTCTATCGAGGTCATACCTCTTAGTACCAACTAGACGATGCTTCATCCACGGAAACCATCGTAGAACGTTGTTTTCTACCGCTTCCTCAATGAAATCGTGTTCACTCAGTGCGTACTCCTCCGAAATCAACTTTGTCGGTGTCATTACTATATATATATATATATATGAACTCAAGTAAAATTAAAGTACTAATAGTGTCCGTGCGTGGACGGACGCGTGTGGAAAAACTGAAAGCGTTCTTTTGTTAGGACTGCACATCCCTAAGAATACAAACACCATGCGTATTTGGACCTTTTAAGCTGCAATTAGGGTTTTTCTTTGTTCATCCAATCAGCCACACTGATCACCCTATCGCAGTTAGATGGGCTGGGTTTCTCCCAATCTGTGCCAGTCTGCTTCTGCACACTACACATTGTCTATAGAAGGCTACAGGGCCATCTGCTTGTATGAGAGGACGTTCTACCCTATAGCAAAAAATTCAAGATCTCCATATCCCCATCTGATTTTCTCTCTCTTAGGATTGGTTTTTTACTGTACTGCTTTACTTATTGAACGCGATACAAGAACGGAGCAGAAATTGCGTTGCGTGATCTTGGAGTGAAATTTATCATTACATATTTGTAACCTAAAATTCTATGTCTTTCTACGTTAATCATTGATTAATTAATTTAATTGATTAAATATAATTATATGACACATAATTTTAATTTAAAATACGCAAATCTCACACGAAATAATGACGTGTGTTTTAGCTACGTCAGCGTTCATATTGAGGATGCAATTGTTAAAAGATTAAGTAATAATCCGTACATCATCACTTCGAGAACGGCTTTGATGAAAATGTTAAGAAGTTTTTCAACCGACTCAAAAGAGGAGTTTCTCAATTCGGTTCTTTTTTTTTCCTCAGAGCTCCGTCATTCATAAACCGATTTGGCATATTTTTGGCTTCCAGTTCGGTACCGTTTAAATTTAAAGAAAAAAAAACCTTTAAGACAATTTAGGTATGAACAATACAATTTATCATGATGTAGATTTGAAGACCGTTGATATTTTTTTTATATGTGGGCCGGTTTGTTGTCGCTGGTTTATTTCTAGATCGTCATGGAAACGCGTGCGGAGCATACAAAAGCGTACCTACGTCATTGTGGAAATAAATGTTAATGCTTTTTAATCGACTGCGCCAAAGGGTTTTCGAGTAGCCTATACAGCTTAATGTATTTTTGGTGTTTGAGGTTTCGTTAGTTTCGTCTTAATTGTAAGAGTGAGTATGTGAATTTAAAAATTTAAATCGACGTTTGTAAATTTTAAGTATACATTTACACGCAATCGGCTTTTTGGCTGACCAGCCAAAAAGCCGACGACTTATTCAATAACAAGTTTTGGCCACGGCTCTGCCCACGGGTATGTCGGTTATTGCGGTAAAAAGTAGCCTATGTTACTCGCTGATAAAGTAGCTTTCCATGGTTGAAAGAATTTTTTAAATCGGTTTAGTGGTTTAGGTGTAAACACGTAACAAACAAGCAAATTCACTTTCAAATTTATATTATAAACATGGATTAGCTTGTAAAAATTAGCACACCTATGATATAAAGAAACAATTTCCAATGTTACGCTCAAATGCACTCAACCCTGAACATCAGGACTCAATGAATGAGGAGAAAATTAGAGTCGGTACTGCGTAACTAATAAGACTTGTATTCCTACAGTAGACATAATTAACCGTTTAACATTACTTCTTACACTTTTGCCAACTTCCTATTAAATAAATAAAAAACGAGCAGTTGAGGCTGATTCTGACTTGCACACCGAGGGTTCCGTACAAACTGGTTTTTATTTTAGATTTTGACCATTCTTTCTCAGAGATAAATTTAAGTTTGGCTTTGTAGCTAGCTCTAACTACATATTTGCATCCGTTTTAACGTAAAGTACAAAAAATATAACGAACGCATTTACAAGATTTCAACGTGTCACTAGGCTGTCGATATAGTAATATAGGTCGTTAATGGTGATATCAACAATATTGCCTTACCTGGAAAATTAAATATATCACTTTCTTACAAATTTAAAATTTACCGTTTACCATACTGCAACAAAGCTACTGCTACTGCATCGACGACATATGTATCAGTAACAAGTCATCTTTTTTTTTTTTGAAAAGGGCAAAACTATTCATTCCATCGACAGTCTGTTGATACAATATTAAAATTGAAACCCTGGTGATTAATTTTGGAAATGATGTCGGAACGCATAGAATAGAAACATTGATTGATTTCTTTACGTTGGCTGTGAGACCTTGCTTCTTGCAAAATTTTATGGCTCTAGGTCAATAGAATACAGGTCATATATATTTTACACACGCTTTATATTAGCTTCACTTATATGTTTGTATGTTTGTTTGTCACCGACTCCTTTGGGCGTGATTTTGACCGACTTTAAACTTTCAGAATTCGTTCAAACTTTGTAGATATATCGAGGACCGATGACAATACACTAATTAATAAAAAAAGTTTTAAAAAACTAATGTTTTTTTTTGCATTAACTTAAAAAACTTCATTGTTTTACAGGTTTAAAGGATTGTTTACAAAAAGTACTTGATGTTTATTTTAACTACTCCACCACAACAGGCGAAAGATAGACAGACGGCCAACAAAGTGATCCTTTAAGAGTTTGCATTGAAGGAGGGATCCCTAAAAAAAACCGGTCAGGTACGAGTCGAACTCGTGCGCCGAGGGTTCCGTACCTACCCAGATTTTACGTAGATTTTCGCGAAAATTCGTAAGTACCAAAATTTATCTTATTTTTCAACTTTTTTTATTTTTTGTAATTATTCCTTTATTTGTACTGCAAGTTAGTACGTTTCTTTTTGCCAAATTTCATGATTCTAGGTCAACGGGAACTACCATATGGGTTTTCGACCCAAAACCGATAGGGTACTTCCGGTTGACCTAAAATTGTCAATTTTGGTTAAAAGCAAGGCCTTACAGCACAAGTAAAGAGAAAATTCTGAAAAATAAAATTAAGGTAAATTTTGGTACTCACAAGTTTTCGCGAAAATCGTAATTTGCCGGTATATTTTTATCGTGTTGACTCAGGACCTTTATTTTTATACACCTAATAGGGACCATAGACCTCAGTATCTGGTATAAATTTCAACTTGCTAGGTCTACCCGTTCCTGAGAAAATCGGTGGTGACACACGGACAGACAGGCGAATACCTCCTTTCTAAGGAGAGGCCTATGTCCAGCAGTGAACTGTTAAAAGCTGCTGATGATGATGATGACACGGACATACGGACAAGAAAGTGATCTTATAGGGTTCCTTTTTTACCTTTTGAGGTACGGAACCCTAAAAACGGCCCGGTTCACGTGTAACTTAGTTGCTATCCTATCCTATCTTCGATCCATCTCATTCTTAAGCCTCGTAGCATTTACTATTATATAATAGTCAATTACTACCCGTAACTATATCATAGTTTACGATTACAATTCATATTAATGTTGATATTATAAATGCGATATTGTGTCTGTCTGTCTGTGTCTTAAACCGCTGAACTGATTTAGATAAAATTTGATATAGAGATAGTTTGAGTCCCGGGAAAGGACATAGGTTAGTTTTTATCACAAAAATCATCCTTTAAGGGAATGAAAAGGGGGGTGGAAGTTCGTATCGGGAATCAATAACCGCTGAATCGATTCAGATAAAATTTGTTATGGAGATAGTTTGATTCTTGAGAAAGGACATTGGTTTATTTTTGATTGATTGATTCTTGACAAAGCTAGTTATTATATAATAGTCAATTACTACCCGTGATACTGTAGGCTTCAGAGTCAGATGAATATTATAAACAATAACAAAATCCGAAATGCCAAAGAGTTTTTTTATCCACAACTATTAACCTCGAAACGCAAATTAAGCATGAAGTACTGAAAACTATAATTTGATATGCGAATTTATTGATTTAAAGACCCCGCAGTGTCGGCACACCTTGAGACGGCACTGAGCGAAGGTTCCGGTTAGTACAGGAAATATATTTATGTAGAAACGAGCTCTTAAAGTGTATAAACCTCTGTGGTGGCCGTAGTGAATTGAACTGCCACGATGAGGATCGCATGTTCGGTTCCCGTTTATTAAAAAAAATGTACGCGTAAAATATGTATGTTTAATGTATTTAAAATTGTTAAAAAAAAATTTTTTTTAACTTGTTAAGTTATCGTATGCTTAAGTTAGTAAGCTTTTTTTTTATGTCAGAGGGGGGCAGACGAACAGACGGGTCACCTGATGGAAAGTGATGAACGTCTGCAACTAAGGAGTCACAAACGCGCTGCCGGCCTTTTAGGAATTAGTACGCTCTTTTCTTGAAAGTTTGAAGGTCGTATCAGTTGGGAAATACCGCAGACGATAACCCGTTCCACAGATTGGTTGAAGTATAATAATTTTAGTCCCACTTCGTAATAGCCATGTCTAAGGGCCACATTTTGCCGACTATTGTAATTATAGTCCAATCACATAAAACAAAAGGTAAAAGACGTATCAAGGATACAACAACTTGTAATCAATATGTGTGTCCAGCAACTGAAGGACGTAACTGGGATTGGTTACGGCCCAAAAAATCTGAGGACTAACAAAACAAAACATTGTAAATCCTTACCTGATCGAAATCCTTCTGTCGTAACGGCATCTGAGACCTCCCACTGGACGAACTGTTAGAACTCATCTTCCTCAATGCAACATATATAGGTATATTTATGACGTCACACAAAACTGGTCACTATCACAACTCATATATTTAAAAAAAAATATACTAATCACGTGAGATCACAGTTGACAGCTAAAGCTGCTGTTACATAATTTGTATGATTTATTTATTTTATTTTTCTAAGTAAGGTACTCTACTCGTGCTGGCGATTGTCAATTCTGAAAAAGAAAAAAGAAATATTAAAAATATTGTTCCTAAATCAGCAGGTTTTTTTTAGATTACGTCAACCTCCTTTCTAAGGAGAGGCCCATGACCAGCAGTGGACTATTAAAGACTGTTGATGATAATGAATGAATTTTAAGAATTTGTTTTAATAAATTATATTTAAAGGACGTCACTAAAGATTATATCTTCTTGCGTCAATGCTCCAATTTCGAAAACATAGCACATATTCTCATATAAAAATATTGATCAAAATAGTGTGTGCAATATGCATTGAAAGTGGCCTACGTCCAGCAGTGGACTTAGATAAGCTGATGATGAACAATCATGAGACGAGTCATGTTCATAACTTATAAACACTGCTGAGTTAAATAAAAAAAAGTTACTAAATGTAGTAAACAAGTACATACATACGTCAATTTCATACGTATTACACGTAGGAGCTGACGTATGTATGTATACGTCACACGCGAATACGTAACATACGCTAAACTAGGCACTTGATAATGGCAATATAACAAAAAAAAAATAGTGTTAGCATTTGGAATATACCTTGTAAATATGTATAAAGTGTTATTCTGAGAACCTATACTATACGAAAGCAATCCAGTTTGCTTCTCTCTTTATTGCGGTTTCAATCCTTTACTACTGAACTTATGATAATAATAACCTGACATTTTGCACACAACCATCTGATTTTAAATTAGGCAGGCTTACATATTTATAAATATAAAATTCTGTATCAGTCTCCGTTTGGGGAAAAACCTATCATCATAAAATTTAGTACCCTATTAAGTGTACAGACTCAGATCAAAAAAAAAAATTAAGATAGCACTCTATGACCAAAGAAGTAAGGCCAATTAAATTAAACGTACACAATTACATGCACAAACATATAACGAAACTAGGCTTTGTCAGTGAAACCGCTATCACAATATTTAAAAGTAAAAATGCCAAATTGTGTTGTATAAGGGTGCAAAAATCAAACTTCAAGAGATAGATAGTGGGGTGGAATCGTGTTTCACACATAAGTAAGCGTAGAAACCAATATTTTCAATAAAATAAAATTATGATGACCCCCGCACACATGTTTTTAAAACCATCCTCACTGCCTTCTTCGCAAAGTTCCATCTTGACCTTTTTATTGGATGTGAGTGTATAGATGAGCATTTTTACTACTGATAAGAAAGTTCTAGTAAGTCCTACTTTTAGGTTCTACAAGTTTTGGATGACAAACAGAATATAATTAAAACTTTGTTTATCCACACAGACTTGATAATTGTACTGATAATACTTTATTGTGATTTAGCAGAACAGCCATAGATAAGATATGTAATCAAGTTGGATAAAGCACAGACAATGACTATGGAACATTTAATCAAGTGAATTAAGACAACAATAGTAAGTAATGGTCAAAGGAAAAACTTAGAAGAAAAACCATGATATGACCGATTTCTTTTTCATATTGACATTGCCTGGTTACAAAAGTGTCTGCACACTTGCAGGAAGTATCCTGATTGAAATGAGTAACCGGTTGGTTGGTCGGCATTCTGTTTAATTAGTAAGTCATCACATCATTCATCAGCATTTTTCTCCTCTTTTTACAATTTTTTTAGGGCTGGCAGAATGTATTGTTCTATGGGTTGGTGCAATAAGAATGAATAAGAGATAAGAGAAGCCACTAGTACAAGAACTTTAACTGGCCATTGTTTATGTGGGTAGGTAGATATACAAATATGGTGGTAGAGAGATCACAAAACTATGTATGTTGTTTTTCAATGCAATTGTATAAACAAATTAACAACATTTAGCAATATTTTGGACAACCCTCATGTATGTATGGATGGAAAGTTATATGTTTGTTAGACAATTTCGAAAAGGCGAAAGGTAAATGTACTGATTAAATTAAATATTTAATATATTTATCATTCAATGAATAAGAATAATGAGGCTACTGATTTGGGTATTTTACAGATATATCTATTAAAATATTTTTTTATAGTATGTATTCGTGTCTAAAAGAAGCATACAATTTGCATAATGGAATTGATCGATTAAATGGAATTGAGCCATCATGTACAATAGATCCATTTTCTTATAGGAATCAAGTCACACCTGGATTTTTAGCACTGTTCAAACTATATATTATTAATAAATCCAACCAATTTCACCAGCATTAGCCAAGCTCTGTCTAGACATGGTGTTGATTCCATTCCAATCTCAGGGTGGATCGACAGCATGATAAGATATAGAGCTATTCAATTTACTGTGAGTGCGATGACTAGAGGGGTGGTGGCCAGAGGATTCCCTCAGGGCAGGCAGGCAGGAACATTGTTGTGGATGAACTCATCACACAACTCAATGACCATAGATTCCTCACAATAGGCTATGCAGACAATCTGACCATCCTCATCAGTGGTTCCTTTGAGAACATTACATGCGATCAAATGAGATTTGCACTGAAGATCCTAGAACAGTGGTGTGTAACACACAACTTGACAGTCACATCTCAAACTGCCCAAGCTATTTTTACTCTTACCAAAGAGGTCAAATACCTCAGTATTTTTGATGTTTGGCCTTTTTTGTAGATTTTCTACAATATGGAATATAAGTTTGTGTCATTGCAGCCAGATATGTGTCTGTGACATTAATGTATGTTTTGTATGCATAAACATGTCTATTTATATGTCTTAGATGCTTATGGCAATCCCATCGTCATCACTTATGAAAATAAAGACAGTATTAAGTTTTATGGGCTATTTTATGAACATTTTTTTGTATAAATATGAGTTTGTAACATAAGATGTTTGATGTGTTCCAAAACTTATACCATACCCTAAATGCAGTTCCATATTTTTATCAAAACAAATATGATACAATCAGTATGAACAACAGTAAAAAATATTAATAATCATACTAGTTTTTTTAATACTAATTTATGTCAATGTGTTTGCATCTACCATAATCAAATAAGAATTATTTATAAAAAAATTGACAGACAAAAGTTTAAGAACAAACACATCAGCTGATTATTTAAATATAGTGTTAACTCAAAACATAAGTAATTGAATACAACAGGCTAGTTTCTACAGTTTTACAATTGTAGTAAAAAATCATGTCAAGAAGACGACAATCAGGTATAACTGCATTTTTCAACAAAAACTCACTGAACAGTGTCTGCCTAGTCAACTGGAAACTATTAACATAAAAAACTAACCCATATGACCATAAAACTACCCACTTTCTAACAGCGTAAAATTTATTACGAAAAAAGCGGGAATTTATTACAGCATTAATCAAATATATGCATAGTAAATTAGAAAAAGTAAAAGTGCTATGCATATGACAAAGGAATCGAGATTTTGCAACCTAAACAAGGGCAGACGAAAACTTGTTTTTTTTTAATGCAGTATGCACAAACAGGCGTCATACCTTCACAGTTTCAAAGACACACTTCATGGCACTGCGTTTAACACTAAATAATCATAAATAAACGATTTAAACAAAATAAATTGTTCAATTACGACTGATTTCTTAGCTTGACAGTACACAGGTAAGTACACATCTGTACCTGACAATTGACTGACAGATATTTTTATTATTCCGCACATTCGGATTCAATCGTTAGCCAATAGAAGCAATGGTACATTCATGATCTATACAATTTGATCGTATAATACTTACGTAGCAATCGTTTTCACTCTGTCATCGACCACATTTCACTTGAAACTAAAACAATCCAATAAATCGTAATGTTTTTCACTTTAGTGATCACAATTTAATTACCAAAATTCAATACAGAAAACCATAATCGCTAACTAAAATAATCATTTCTTTCACGCACTAAATGAAAAGAAACAACAAGGAGGAAGAGAGAACAAAACCGTAGTTTATTTTTAGACTGAAATAGCAGAGGGCGCTTGGGAGTTTATTTTATAAATGCGTTCCAAATATGTAAAAAAATGTAAATGCCTAAAAAATATAGTAAGTTCACAAAGAAAAAATTTATTTTAGCCAGTTCATACAATTTAAGAATAAAAAGAACATTATATTTCGGCACAAGGCAATAGTAGTAAGTTATTAGCAACGAAAAAGTCGTTTGTCGACAGATGTTTATGAGATTTTGTTGTCTGTACTGGACAGGTGTTTTGTAAAATACATTAACTTTAAATCGGTGGCATTTAGACGGAATAGTATTTAATATGAATATATTTTTGTGCCACTAAGCACTATTACTTTAAACAAAAATTTAGAACAGATGCGATCGGTAAGATACACAAGCTGGCGAATAGGAAATAAGGCAATTTTTGTACATATTTACTGATTTTACACGATTCTCCTATTACAAATTGTAGTGATATTGTGCCGTGTGTAAGGGGTTTTATTTGTATTACCACGGTACTATTATAATACAGTACTCCAACTTCATACAAACGGACGAAACGCGAGCTATACCTACGCGCCTCGATCTCGGGGTGCGCTCGGGGCGCAGACAGTCACGGCTGTACCGCAGTGTCGAACGGACTGTGTTGTTTTTTTCTCTAAAAATCAGTTAATATGACGAGTAGGAAATATTGTGCTGTTTTTGGTTGTATGAATTCGTCAATAACGCATCCAGACATAAGTTTTTTTAAATTACCTGGAAACTCTGAAAGGTAAGACTATAAAATAATTTTACTTACTAGTAGGTAGGTACATACTGTGTGTCTTTTTAATGGATAAGTATTTCCTTTTATCTCACGAAAAAAAAGATGTTTGGATGAATAAATAAAGCAAACAGAGTAACGGAAAGTTATTGAGACTAGTGAAATAGGGAGTTATATGCGGTTCTGAATGAATCATGATACGGTAGGTACCTACCTACTTACGCTTGTATTAAAACTTCGGTGCATGTGTGATTTGTTACATTGCATAATTCAAAGTAAAGACGTGGTATTTTATTATTAATAATATTGGTTTATTATCTGTGTGTATGAATAATACTAAAAAAAATTTTTTACCGTCTGTGTGTCATTAGACAGTTTTCGAAATTTTCACAAGGTGTTTCTGCTGCTACTATAACAACATATAAAACTAAAAACTGGTTTTATTTTCTCGGTATTAACAACAACAGCTAGAGATAGGTTGTGATTTTAAAACATTCGTAGTCAGCTGTTCAGCTTTTTAATAATTAATTAATTGGTGACCAAAGAATTTTTGTTTTGAGTAGTTGCGAGTTGTAGGTAGGTACCTAATTTATAGAGACGTTAATAAGCTGAGATAAAAAGTTACTTACTCGTCAGCTGTTTCTTGCATTCTAGTTGAGTAGGTAGGTGTTGGAGTTTCTAAGGATTGGAGTTTTGTAACGCGTAAGGAGAAAGCACATTTATTTTATTTTATAGAAGGATTTTTTTCGGTCGCAAATTTATAAGCCCGATTTGTTTTTCAAACAAAAACATGTTTTTTTAATTAAATCTACCAATCAAAAAACAACACGCATTTTTATTGAACACTTCCTATTCAATATACAAAGTATTTCATTTATTTATATTAAAAAAGGATATTTACAATCACAAATCTAAATAGAAACAGAAAGTAGGCAAATATAATTAAAATGCTGGAGACGGGCAGCCCTAACGCATGTTTACGTACCGCGCGGCTGTAGGCATTTATTTCTATCATGCGGCCGAGTTACAGTACTGTATTATAATTGTACCGTGGTATTACTCTTCTAATGGTTTGGTAAATTGAATGGTCTGTGAAAGTGCTGTTCATTCACTTCAGTTCATTTCATTCAGTTTAGTGTTTCCATTCTAACGTAGTGTTTGTATACTCTTTGGTTTTTCTTGTTTTTATTTTTATTTTAAAACAAACAAAACAACGAAACTTACATAAAAAAATATAAACACTATTTTTAACTTGAAGTTGTAACTTATAACCATGTGCTATGTAATAATTACTGGTCGAAGTTTAGCATGGCTATTGCTAAGTTTAGTTGCATTTATGTTGATTTTGACTGGAATTATGACGCCGAAATGGCTTATGGGGCAGCCAGTTGTCCTAAACGAAAATAACATTACGAGTTTTTATATTCCAAGCGTCGGAATTTATAACAGGTATGTTATTATTTTACACCTAGATTTTTTACATATAGATTTATTTTTTTAGTCTTTTTTTTATTTTATGACTAAAGTTACTTAGTTTAAATCCTTTCTAAAATTAACGTTTTGATTAAATTACTTCTGTATCTTGTGGTGTAATCCATTTAAACAGTTTGTAAAATGAATAATTTTTAAAGGTACCTTTACTCAAAAATATTCTTAGGACTTATTTAAGATGTCACAGTATAACTAACCAAACAAAATTATGCAGATCTTCGGGTTCGATTCCCGGGTCTGACCAAATATTTGTATGATCTGGAAATATATGTTTCTTAAATTGGGTGTGTTCTATGTGTAATATTATATGTATGTATTTGCGAAAAAAAGTAAATAAGTATTCTATCAGTCAATCTGGCTTTCATAGTACAAGCTCTGCTTAGTTTAAAACTAGATGACTAAGTGTGTCTGATGTCAGAAAATAGTATTATTATTTATTTTACTTATGCCTTACATAAAATTCTTTGTTTTAGATGTATGCGCATGAGAGAAGACCACAACAACTGTGCCTCATTTTCCTTTTATGGTCTTGCTACAGACCCTGCAGTATACCCACCTCCGTGGAAGGCTGCTATGTTCTTCTTATCTTTATGTAAGGATGTTACTATTATTGGTATTGGGCTCTAGTTTCGGGATTTAGACTCATAAACGGTCCATGTACGTAAGGTTGACTGGGTGAGCCAAGCCTTCTGAAACAGTCACAGGCTTCTAGGGGAAAAAGGATGTTACTATTTTGTAATGGTAGTACCAATATGTTGTGTTTGAAAAAGCAATTTGCAACTTGTGATTTTGTCTAAGTATAGCCTATATCTCTGAAGTACTTATGCATTCTTCTTTTAAAGGATCTTCTTATTCATTTTTTTTAAGTTAGGTCACTTTCATTGTACGTGAGTATGTTTCTCTTAACTGCTTCCAAGTTCCAACTTCCACTATGTCAAGCTTGGCAATGCATAAGTGTTAATCAATATACCTAAACCTGATATAAAATTTTATTATTCATCTTATGACATAGGAATCACAACCAGAATCTGAATACACATCTGCACATATATCTGTATGTAGCATCTTAACACCTAGATAAAGAAACGAATATAGAATCCAATAGAAAGTAGTTGTTCTTGGGATGGGCATTAGTTATTATTGGTGACTTTTTGTAATGGGAGTAATCCCTCTTCACCGCTGTAAATCCTCCTAAACCAGGATCAACAGAAATGACACACCAAGTTATGACACTAGGGCAGTGCCAGAAAAAATTACAATAATACTAATAAATAATAAATATATTTATTGGAAACAAAAATTAGGGTAAATTGTATTTGTGCACAAGAATAACTGTAGTGGTTTGCAACTGTGACACAGTTTTTAACCACCCATTGAACTGTCTAAGAACCCACAACAAAATTAATCAGCAGAAAATCGGCTTATTTGAAAATACCACTATTGGTGATCCATGCACATACGGGCCGACTCTACCGGAGTGATATTACGGCCTCACCGAAAACAATTCTTCAGGATTTCTTATGTTCCCTAACCCGGGTGGTGGGCACTAAAAGTACACTTAGTTGCACGTTGTGTATGGGCGTCGGTAGATACTTACCATCAGAGGACTGATTACATTTTTGCTCCTTGTACCAGAAAAACAAAAGTATTCGGCCATTTTTAATAAATCAGTATTTTAAAATAATATTTTATGTTGCAGGTGCTGCCATACAATTTGCGACCGTGTTATGTGGTATAATTGCTTGTTGTGTACAATCTGTGTTTAAGAAGAGCGTTATTTCATTGGCTGGTGCTACGCAAGCTTTGGGCGGTATGTTATTAAGATCACATTTAGTTAGCACTAGCTGAGACCCGTGGTGTTACCCGCGTTTGTTGTTATAACCGCGGGCAACGTCGCGGGGCGAAGCTAGTCTAAAAAAGTAGCCTTAATATTACAAACAGACACCAATTTTATTTATTTGTATAGATTTGTATAGATTTCAAAACTTCACTATTCCTGAAACGTAAATATATAGATAATATATATATCCAGCTATCTATAAACTAGCGGCTCCCGCGACATGATAGCTAGTATGTAAAAAAAATAATTAAATAACTATTTAATTAATTAGATCTATTGATATGATGCCTAAAATAAGGTATATGATGAAAAGATGGTTACTAAATTTATTTTAATTAAACTTATTTAAATATTACATTATAAACTGACTTTTAGTTTAGTTTACAATTTTTTTTAACCTCAAAGACGCCGGAAATTTGCGCGAAAAGAGAAATAATAATATAAGTTGGTGTAGATAGTGATTTGAATTTCTGGCAAACTGTTTATGCATTATGTTCTTCTGAACACAGACTTATTAAAATTCACAACAAACACCAGCACCTCAAAAAAAATGAAAACTTGACACAAATCCTATACCCGTCTGGCCAGCGTGGTATAGTAGGCCAAAACCTCCTTTCTAAGGAGAGGCCTATGTCCTACAGTGGGCTATTAAAAGCTGTTGATGATTATGGTTTTTGTTTTTGGTTTTGTGGCCTATATTTTATTTCAATTAAAAATATACTTTTATTTGATTTAAGAGTAAAATAATGAATAAAATATTACTTTCCGGGTATTATTTTAACCACATGAAGCGTTTAAAACTATTTTTGAAAAAGTTATCAACTCCATGATTGAATCTTACAATTCTATTCTGTATATAGAGAATCTTAGAAAGTTACAAAGTTCTAAAAAATTCCAATGACTAGAATAGTTTTTAACCAACTCCCACTACGATATACAATAGTTTTGGTGATCGTATTTTAACCTGAACTACGAAATTTAAGCCTCGTTGGCAAGTAGTAGCCAGTAGGAAAAGTATATCAATCAATTGGTCACAGAAAAGACTAGCAAACTTGAGGATTGCGAACAAATATTACCCACAGTTCCTACCTACCTACGTTACCTACGTTTAAATACTATCTATATATGATACGATACTGAAGCAATATTTCATATTGCAGGTCTTTTCGGGGTTCTGGGATTACTGTTATACCCTTGGGGTTGGGGTGCGTCGCGCGTCAAACGTCTTTGTGGAGAAAACGCTGACCCGTATATACTTGGCGATTGTTCTATTGGTAAGTAAATTGCCGCAATATAAATATTTTTATATTTATTTTTATTTGACAAGTATTTAAAACATTTATTCCTAATTATATATTCTTGTATACACTTATAGATTTATCTCCAAAGTTACAGAGAGAATCGTATTAAACACCAAACATTTAACAAACAATAAAGGATATTACAGCTCAGTTTATTTAAATATGTTTACGGAAATTAACGCGCTCACAGATATTAAGTACCGTAGCCATCACCATTCAAAATTCAGCTCCGATCTACTCTCAATTTCACAAATGTCATAAAAGGTATTCTCGTAATAAACTATTACTAAGTACTTTAATACTTTACTACGAGAATACCAAGACATTTGTGAGATCAAGAGTCGAAACCGAATTTTTATTACGAGAATTGACTTTCAGATCAGTTCTATGATCTGGTCACGACACATATACCGATAGAATTTATAGCTTTGCCGAAAATTCTCCCCAGACACGGTAGGCTGTTGTTATTTAATAAAGAAATCAATATTTTCGTTCTAGGTAAAACCTCCATTTGTAGCACTTGTGCGTCACAATTATGTCTATCACTGGTTTCTCCGTTAATCTCAATATAATAATTTGTCATATTTTTCCTCAAGACGAATGTTCAAGGTTTTACAGAAAACTTTTTGGAAGTCTAAAGATGTAAAATAGGTATGAATTTTGTAAAAAGCCTGACGGTCTTTTGGTGAGGCTTTCAGTCAGTCAGTTGCCTGTGGGGACGCCTCAGTAAAATCACAAAAAAAGGCGAATCAAAATTATTCAGAAGACTTTAAACATAATAAAGAAAATTTTGTTTTTTAGCATTTAGATAATAGATATGAATATTATTTAGATACATATACATATACAGCGGGCATATACAGCGGGCTCCGCCCGCGTAAATGTCGGTTATCACCCTAGCCTATGTCCTTGCCCAAGAATTATTATAATAATAATAATATTTATAATTTCGGTTCAGCGGTTCAGCCGTTGAAAGCGTAACATACAGAGACAGAGAGAGAGATAACTTTCATATTTATAATGTTAGTAGGGTAATTCGGTGATTCCTTATCTATATAATCGAAATGCTGTTAACAACGTGATCAGATCAAGTTTGAAGTACGTAAATAATAGAATGTCAATGCATTGCTTATGACAAGTACTTGGTACTGCATGAATTGTAAACAATTTTATTGCATTTAAAATTTAGCCAAAACAATTGCGCAAAACTAACAGGACTTGGTATAGTAGGCAAAACCTCCTTTCTAAGGAGAGGCTTATGTCCAGCAGTGGACTATTAAAGGCTATTGATGATTATGTGAACAAGACTGAATCTGGACTGTTTTGTGATTGCAGAGCCCCCGAGAACAGACATATCCTCTTACCATTTTAACATTTATATTTATTATTTATGTAAATAACCAATAAATCGATCCGTATTGTCTGTAACTATTCTATGTATAAGTACTTAGTATTCTGTTCAGATTTAGTTAAGACACAATCTAACATTCCATTTATACATAACGAAGGTCGTAATAAATGTGACGTAAATACATACATACAGTTACGCCTTATTCCAGTCATAGTTAAAACGCCATTTTCCTTGACCAAGACATAATACATCTCGCTCTACTTTTTCTTCATCTCTCCTTCTTTTATTAAAAAGGTAAATTGACCTTAGGAGGATGTTTATTTTCGGGAATTTATTATACATATATAATAAATTCCTAACAATTAACACTGGCACTTGTAACTGTGCTGAAATATTAGAAACTAATTCCTAAAAATAAACATTTTTATTTATTAAATATCCCGTTTGTAACTAACTTATCAAGTGGAAATTACCTTAGTAGTTTGAATTAATATACCTGTCAATGTGTTGATTTATATAAAGCTGAATTAAAATTCCAGGCTGGGCTCTTTTCGTGACAGCCACCGGCGTTGCTCAAATCTTCCTAGCCAGCGCTCTCTCCAAGACAGCAGACAAAGCAGCTAATTCAGACAAGGTGCAGTTCCAAATGGATGAGGGAAAACAGCTTATTTGCTTAGCTTAAGTTTTAGATTTAAAATAAAATAAGTATGAGAAAATGCCATAAGTATACGACGGTTATCAGAATATGACATTACAATAGAATAAGAGATGACATTATAGCAGAACTATATATGACACTAGAATAAATGAAACTGGTAAAGTACTGTAGTACAAGTACTGAATGTGGAGTAAACTAAGCGAAAGAGATTAACGAGTATCTTCCTTCAAAAGATGAACCTTAGTGTATTTTGTATACCGAAACTGCCTTAAAAATAGAATATAAAAGTATACTAGCATAAATTAAAAAAAAACCCTCTACACACATCTTGGATTTGAAATTTGTCATCGTATTCTACTAGTCAAGCCCTTTCATTTGATATCCATATTGAGGGAGTTGTGAAAAAATATATAATCAGCCATTTAATGGCAGCGGCCATCTTGGACCGATTTTCATTAAACATAGCTAAGAACACTCCCGACTAATTTCTCTTTCAAACAAAAAAAAACAAAATCAAAATCTGTTCATCTGTTCGGGGGCAGACAGACACACACCCCGTCGTTTTAGTGTCGGGGTCTAAAAACATAACCCAACGTCTTACGTTGCGACTTCACAATGGCAAAAACAATTTGACGATGCGACTCAGCAACATTGGAAATATGTATTTAAAGGAAACGTGAATAAGTACCAACACAAATGATATTTTTCTATTCTGTCAAGAGAAACAGATTTTTACTGTAATGATTAATTTTTTTACTAGTTATAAGTACGGAAAAGTTTTTTTTTGTAGAATCAGTAATTTTTGCACAACAAAGTTTATTTATGATCGCTATCATAAATTTTCTAATATATATGGATCGTCAGGATTTGTTTCCTTCGTATAAATTACATAATATATATTCGTATGTATAAAATTGATGTTTGTGCTTATGAACTTATAATAGTTTGAATAACACCTTTTAAAAAAATCGATCATTAGTCATTTCGATCATAACCCGTTTCGTTAATTCTTTATTTATAATTATAAATGTGGGTTTTTTTTTGTAAAAGCAAGCAATGCTATTGTTAAATTGGTTGTATAACATTAATAATGAGACTGAATTTCCTTTTGCGTCCGTTGACAATCTCATTTGAACTGAGTAGATTAGGCAGATATCCATTAAGCAATTGCAGCCCATTTTGTTCTAAGAATTGTTTATGATGAGTACCATGTTTTTTCTCTCATTCTTTCCTACAATCATATTTCGTAAAAAGGGACGGAAGTGTGTAACAGGAAGTGATTTAACTAAGGGAACTTACCCATACTACGTGACCCATGCAGGGGCCAGGGATTAAGTTTTTTTTTTCTTTCTGTATGCATGTAATGATTTATGATTATTATTTGTTTACTACTGAAATTTAAAAGTGCACTATTATTTGATTTTAGGATCACAAAACCAAAAAAGAAAATGGAACTCTTTGAGGATTACTTCGATATCATTCTGTCGGTATTTCTATCTATCAGATTATGTGTGCGTCAAGGTCCTATTTTCTGAAATGCTTGGCGGCATCAAGTTAAAATGATTATCAAATACAACTTTGAATCTGTGGTCACTTTACTTTTAGGTTTGACATTTTGTAAATATATGGTTATATTTATGAATTATTACGTGAAAATGCGAGGGGGAGGGGGGAGCGAAAAATGGTTAAAAATTGGTCACGTAGTATGGGTACGTTCCCTAATGAGCACGCGCAGTGCTGAAGTTGTCCGTGAGATGGTAGGTGAGACGTCAGATGTTTTATACATCGTATGGGACTACTACAAGACCCGCTCGTTTTTTTTTTTAATTTAGTTTTAAAATAAAATATTTATATATTTTATAGATAAATATTATGATTTAAGTTTAATATTAAATAATAATTATTATAATAATGATTTAGTACCTATGTTAGTATTTTTTTTTATTCTGGCTATTGCCGTAATATCACGTAATAGAAATGCTAGAAATCATACATCACATTAAATTACTAATTCATTTTATACAAAAAAATAGAGACTGAATATCGACTTCCAATATTCTATAGATTTTTTTTAATTGTAAGACGAATATTATGTACCTATACATCGTGGTCAAACCCTCACCTTTTGGTAAATAAAGAAAAAAAATGTATACATTTTTGTATTGTATAAATAAATTGTGTCATACAAAAATATTTTATAAAAAATAAATAGAATAATAATAATAAAACAATAATAATAATAAAGAAAACCAGTGTTAAACGATTTATTCGTTACTTTTAACCCATTAACTATTAGTTTTAAGTTTATTTAACTTACTTTTATCTTACAAATATTTTTTCTTAAGTATTTATTTTTCTAAATTTCTAGTTATGGTATTGTAATAACATAGTGTTTAGAATCACAATATCTGTATTAGAATAGTGCCATGTTGTTTGTTTTTAATATTTGTCATCGTTGCATAGTATATTTAATGGAACAATCTGTATCAAAGGATATAATTATCCCATGTGTGTGATAATGCAGTAGGCAAGGCAAGACTATTTAAATTATACAATAATAAATTTGATACAGATTGTACTAAATTTAAATTCTCATTTAAAAGAACTGAGTAATAAATTAAATTAAAAAGGAGTATGAATATCAGTATTATGTGAACATTTAGGTTTTAGTTTTTTTTTGTGATTGAAGAAAAGATACGAGTCATATTTGAGAAAAAATATTCAAAATTACTTTACATTTACTCTCATTGTTATATTTATAAGTCGTCATGATCGTAGATTAATGTCGGTTTTGAAAAAAAAAAACGTAATTAAGTTTTTAATAATTTTAGTTACTACATTGTCTAAATATTATTACTACATTCAAGAAAAATATATATTTATTTTAGATTTTAAATTATTCAGTCGGTAAACTGCGGATTTGATAGGCGCTCAAAGCAAAGTGAAGCATGTAATTTAATAGAAAATTGTATAATTATTAGTTGTTATTTTTATTGCTTTTTAAAAAAACTCTTTTTTTAACTTGCAATCTAATTTTCATATTTAGAATACAGAAGTTATGTCAAAAAAATAAAATAATTATTTGAAATGGCTGCCCTGTAAAGTTCAATAAATGTCAGATCCGACACTATTCTACAACTATGACGAGGTCCTATCTTATACATATTCAAACAAATTAATATTACTAATTCATCGACATGGAGCAAAGCAGCTTCTCATAGGTTTTACAGAAAGGTGTGCTTGTGTGTTTTAGAAGAGTTCTAGATATGTATACGTACGGGGCATACCTTACTACCTGAATTGAATTGCCTGTCAATACGGCTAAGTGACAGGAGTCAGCTTATGACCACGGCCACGGCAACCTGCTCGAAATGTCAGGCAATTTAAATTACGCGATCTCGTTAATTCTATACATGTAAGATATTGTTTTCTAATCATCATCATCAACAGCCTTTACTAGTTCACTGCTGGACATAGGCCTCTCCTTAGAAAGGAGACTTCGTTTACTAATATTTGGCTGAAAAGAAAATATTGTACACAGAATTAGATGCACAAGAAAAAAATATAGTTAAATTTCTTTTTTTTTCGTGTACATATCTGTAAAGATTTTATGATATATAAATATGTTACCGGGATTTAAGAGATTACGTACTTCGCCTTGCTCGCATGGTGACCATAGCTACTAGGACCTGGTAGAAACGTGAGAGAATTCCTGTTCTAAAATCTCATTAATACCAGTTATCATAATATCATCATGGAATTAAAAATGCTTTACGGATGCTTTATTACCATTCTTATTACTTTTTAAATGCTAATGGTTGCCGATGAATGCGGCATTTTGAACCTTTAAGTTTAAAATCTATACTTTTATTTTTGTAAGCTCTTTTACTATTCTTCTTCTTCTCAGCCTAAAGACGTCCACTGCTGGATATGGCCTCTCTCAAGTTTAGCCACAACTCTGTCTAAGCTCTTACTATAAATTACGCTTATTTGTCAAGTTTCGAATTGACTTGTTGGTTTCAAAGGAAGGTTTTTTTAAAATATAAAACTAGCTAATCCGGCAAACGTTGTTTTGCCATATACATTATTTCAAAATTTAAAAAAAAAAAACATTTAGGGTATGAAAAATAGATGTTGGCCGATTCTCAGACCTACCCGATATGCACACAAAATTTGACGAAAATCGGTCGAGTCGTTTCGTAGAATTTTATATATTAGATTGTATGCACCACGTTTTCATAGATTCTATCTACGACAAGACTTTAAACAATGAGCACACCTTACTGCAACACAGTACTGATTGTCTAGTGGATCTTGGTGCCTTTTAAAGCTATGGATGTCTTTACAGAACCATGTGGTATCTAGTATGTAATCAAAGAGTAAATATAATATTTATACACACGTGTACAAGTTACATTATCTGTATTTTATACAAATTATATACATTTTGAATTGATTTTGATTTTTATTGTGCATTTACCTATAAATGTTTCTTTCGTTCGTTGCGTTATGGGCTAAGTATATCTTAGTTGTATTAAGTATATCGTAAATGTGACCGGCCTGTTCACCAACAATGAATTGAATGAATGCATATCCTAATGTAATGTTCGTTTTTCAACCTGTGTATACATATATAAACACACTATTACACATGTACATATATAAATTTATATAATAAACACTTAATGTTTATTATACATAATATATATCTATAACTTAGGTGGGTTACAAAAAGTAAACATTAAAAATTTAAACGACGTTGATTTATCTATTTGACCAATAGCTTCAAGGACGGAATGCTTGACGAGCTTGTTGTTGTACTGGTTAGTGACCCTGACTGCTACGCCAGAGGTCGTGGGTTCGATTCCCACCCAGGGCAAATGATTATGTGATGATCACGGTCATATGTATGTACTAAGAAATATATAAGTACCATAGTACAGGCTCTGCCAAGTTTGGGATCGGACGGCCGTGTATGATATATATTAATAATGTATACTATCTAAGTACATCTTGAACACTAT